GGGAGCCCTCTCACCTCTGCACTTGTCAGGAAAACCACCACAGGGTTAAGTTCCGGAGGGAACCTCCCAAAGATTTCAGGGAATATTGGATACCTGTAACTATATTCCACACAGAAAATTTGGAGTATACTGGAAAAATCTGGGGAATGACCTTAAGCTTGCTCAGGTCTAGTGTGGTCTCCTTGATAGAAGAGATTAAGGCAGCACCCGGTGCCCATCCGTGCCCACTTGGACTACCCACTTGGGCTTTTCCTGCCCACTTGGACTACCACAAGCAATTTGCCTTTACCTGGCGGCAGTATACCACTGCCACCCAGCCCAAGATGTGAGTAACTCTGCAGTTTTGTGGGCTTTTTTAAGATTTTCTTTTTAAGCAATCTCTACACCCACCGCGGAGCTTGAATTTACAACCCCAAGATCAAGAGATCAAGAGTTGCACATTCTACTGAGTCAGGCACCCCAATAAGTCCGAAAATTTGCTCAACCTAATCCTCAAGACCTTGACCACCCACCCCAGGACATCTTGATGGTCCACTTCACTGATGTCATGTTGCTTATCTCGGAGAACTGGAAGGGGCAGTAATCCAGGTGTAAAACATTGATGCTTGCTTGGGGAGATAAATCCTAGGGAAAAACTGGCCACCCAGCAAAGTTCCCGGGGGGGGGGGGTTGGCATACTTACTGCCACCCCCCACCCCCAGCCAAGTGAAACACAAATTGCACTTGCCCCTCAAACTACCCTCACTGCCCCATTGTGCACAGAGCATGATAGGGAGGCAGGCCTCTTCAAATCTTGGCGAAAGCACTTACGTTTGGGTATTGTTACCCAAATGCATTTACTGGATAGCCCTCAAACCTACTATGTTCAGGTGGGGCATTGAGCAAGAGAAGATTTTCTAGGAGATCCAGGCTCACATAGTGTATAGCAGACCCATGGCATATTTGGAACTTGAGGTAAAACTCAGAAGAGCCCCTGGTGTCTTTGAGGCCATCAGGTTAACTATCAGGGTTCTATTAGAGATTAGGCATTCTTCCGAGGGACACCACATAACTGCAGTCTGGACCAGGCAGGATACGATAACTTCCCTATGCACCTAATGACACTCTATGATCCATTAGATATAGGTACAGATGGGATTGGGCTTGATTTAACCTGAAGGTACCAGTAAGCTGCCTATTGGTGCCTATACCAGGAAGATGGGTGAAAAATAAAAACACCGAAGCTTGGTTTACAGGTGCTTCTGCATGACATACTGGCATCAGCAGTGAATGTTAAGGAATTACAGCCCCATGCAGGACCCTAAAGGACAGCTGCAGCCCAAGGGAAATAAGCAGCCCAAAGACAGAGCTTCAAGTGTGATACACTCTTCTCTGGTGAAGACAGATCGCTTGTGTCTGGATCCTGGTGCAGAAGGGCAGGGACTTAGCAAGAAGGAAACCGGATTTCCTGACACAGGCCAGGTCCCATGTGACAGGTTTCCACTGCAGGGGACCACAACAAAGCCCAAGGCTATGGGCACAGTTGTCAACCCATGGCCCACAGTGTGCACCCATCAGCTCTCACCTCAGAAGTTACACTGAGCACCTGAAATCAAGAACTGCACTGTCCTGTGCCTGGGCTCATTGCCAGGGAAAACACTAATCAGCCTGAGAAGGGAGGCCATTGCCGACAGGGGTGCAAGGCCCTGATGGGAGCTGGGTACAAGGCGATATAACCACTGGCCCTCTGCTTATACCTCTATACCTGCTTCCTCGCCTAAATGTTGAGGGGTGGCTCATATTCCCTAAAAGGTTTTCACGTCTTAGGTGTTTCCAGATCGTCTCAGCAACATGGGAGCTGGGGAAAGAAACTAGGATTCTGTTCATTTTCCTCTGGTGGTAACTGGGCAAGTTCAGGTGAACGGTGACAAAGGGGCACCAGCTCTGGCTCCGAGAAACATGAGGACTTGTGTCTGAATAGGGGCCATAAATCTGTATGTTCACTTATTCCACCTTGTGAACTTCAATTACAAGTATTTCTGGTACCTGTAGGGTTTGGTCCAAGTGCTTGATAAGCCATATTGACCTTGTAAAGGTCAACCAGTACCAATCTGGGGCATGGTCCAAGGATGCTGGCAGTGCCAGAGCCACCAGAAGAAATGGGGTCTCCTCCTTGTCTTGTGTCTTGGGCACACCAGACCCTAGCCGCCAAATCTCAGGGTCAGGCAGAAGCAGGTCTTTGGCTAGTGGTTAGCTTGTTTCTCAGGTACTGGGTGATACTTGATAATCTGGTTGGAGTCCTAACGCTCTAGATCAGGAGCTGACAAATTTCTTCTGTAAAAACCCATGTATAAAATATTTTAGACTTTGCAAGTCAAATGTCGCTGTGGCAACTACCCATTTCTGCCACTGTAGTGTGAAAGTAGTCAGTGAACAAGTGTAGCCGTGATCCAATAAAATTTATTTACAAAAATAGGCAGCGGGCCAAGTTGGGCCCAAGGACTGTAATTTCCCAACCAGTCTTTGATGACACTTAGTAGACGACCTGGCTGCCTGAGGGGACTATGATCCATTCTGCTTCTGTGAGATGGAAACCTCTAAGGTCTGGTGCTTTGCAGAGTTGTACATGGGTGTAGAACAGGGCATTGTGTATGGGAGTTTCTGACCAAGTGGTGGGTGCAGAGGCCAGAATGTGAGGGCCACACCAGAATATGTTGAGCTTCCTTCTTCGTAAGAAACATCAACTGGTTTATTCCAGATCAGGCCCAACCCTCCTACCCCATACACACATGGTCCCTGGGTAGGCATTGTCCTTACTGGGCCCTTAAGAGCCCTTGTGCTGTGGCCTGACCACCAGGCCCTCTCTGGTGATGGCCCAGTTGTAGTTCTTCGGGGAGTCCAATGCTTCTTCCACCCGTGCCTCCAGGTTCTCTCGGGTGATGAAATTTTTTGCCTCCTCCTATTGTGAGAGAGAAGGCCAGCTGAATGGAAGTCTCCAGCACATGCCTGCTGCCTGCTGACCTTTTGCACACTAAGGGAGAGGCTCCAGCTCTCTTTGGATGGATGCTTGGAGCCTAGGACCTCTGTAGAGGAGGATCCCACTACAGCTACGATCCTGCGGACCTTCCAGTGGAAAAATATCAGGCAGCCTTACCACGTTCGTCTTTCTCAGATAAGAAATCGCACCAGTTGTGACAACCTCTGGACCTGCTAGGTGGAATCAGTTCCTCAATGTTGCCTCAATGTCCTTCTTAATCTCTCTCAAACTTGTCCTTCTCCTTCTGTTACTTTAATTCAGACCCCGTCCTTTGTTGCTGGATCACTCCTAACTGGTCTGCTTTTAAGCCTCATACCTGATATCCTAGCCTAGAACATAACTTCAACGACTTTATCACCTGTAAGGCAAAATACGAATTCCTTGTGGAACCGGGGGTCCCTCCCAGATGCAGGCTTACCATCACCCAAGTACTTGAACACTTTCCAATGTCAACTCTTACTTCTGCGCCTGCCAGGCACTCTCCTCGCACGCCATCTTTCCCAAATCCTCACCTACTTGCTAACTCTCAAGACTCAAGGCTGTTCGCTCTCTCTTTGCACGCAGCCAGTGCCCCATTTCGCGGCGCCCAGGACTCCGAGTGCGGCCCAGGCGGAGTTCCTGGCCTCTAGCCCCAGCCCCTGGAGACACGGCTCACCTGCAGCTGCAACGCTTCCTGCTCCTTGAGCTGCACCCAGGCTTGTGCCTCTCGGGCCCGCCGGGCCTTCTCCTCCACCTGCCGCTGCTCCTGCTCCCGCGCTTCCTGCCGCAGCCTCGCTAACCTGGGGTGGAGGGCAACAGGCAGAGACTCAGTGCGACTGGATCTCCCCCGCGCCAGCCAGCGGCCCGCCCCGCCTCCCGGCCCACTCACCGCAGCTCGTGCAGCCGCTGGTTCTCCGCCTGGTTCCAGGCCATCAGGTCGCGGTGCTCAGTGGCTTCCTGCAGAGCCTTGCGCTCTGCCAGGACCCCGGCCCGGGCCTCGTGCATCTTCTTCCGCACCTCGGACACGAACTCAAGCCTGGGCAGAGACGCGCCAAAGTCGGCACCCTCTACGCCCGCCCGGACACACCGCCCACGGCGCCGACGCCCGCCTCCCCTTAAGTCGTACACACCTGAGGGCGCGCACCGTCTGGCGGTACTGTCGGTAACGCTCCGTCAGCACGAAGAACTCTACAGGATCCACCGCAGGCGGGGTTGTCACGCGCCCGAGCTTGGACTTGGCCGGCGGGTCATGGCGGGTCTTGCGGCCGCGAACCGGCTGCAGCAGCGGGGCCCAAGGCCCGCACGGGGGTCTCGCCCCCAGGACCCTCAGCGCGCGCAGCATGGCCCAGGATGCCCCGCGTCCGGCGCGCCGCAGGGCATCACGGGGCCTGGAAGCGGGCGCGGGGCACCACGGGACTCGTAGTCCGCGGGCTCCGCCTCCCATCTCCTGGAGCCGGGTCGAGGGGAGCGCACCTGCCAACATCTGCATCTACCCTTCCACGTCTGCGTCCACCCCCCGGCCCGCTGGCTCTGGCTTCGACCTTCCTGCGAGGCCTGCCATGACCCGCCCCGTGTCCCTCCCGCCGGCGGGCCCGGCCCGCGTCCCTCCAGCCCCCGCGCGGGGTAGGGTCTCAGCGCGGGTGGGCAAGGGAGGGGACGACTGAGAGAACTCGAGGCAGTAGCTTCAGGGAGTTCACATCGTTATTGGAGGGCTGCAGGGCGCGGCGCTCTAGGTTCGGTCTGCGCGGGGAGGAAGCGGGCTTTTTAGCAGATGCCCTGGCAGCCCAGCTGCGACCTTGCCCGCCCCCTCTCCTCCAGACCTGTCCCCGCGGAGCTGGACGTGGCCTTCTGGCGGACGCGCCTTGGCTGCTAGAGGACCCAGCGTGGGCGCTCTGTAGCTCCTTGGGTGTTGCCCACCCTTAACCTGGTATGTAAAAGCCTGAGCTCACACCGACTTAAACTCGGTGATAAGTTTTTGCCTTATGGGAATTTACCACTTTCTCCTTCAGTTAGCGCCCTCCTGGTGCACTTTAAAATAAATTTGCAAAATAGTAGTAATCCATCTCTGCACTCGGTCTTCTGCAATCACCAAGTCATTGCTAGTGCAGTGACCACCTGGTTCTGGGGCCCCTTCTATTAGTGTGAGTTCACACTCCTCATCTCTTCCCACTGGGAGACACACTGGGTTCTCCTGATGATGAGAAAGAAGCCTAGAGGATCCCGCTACAGCTATGGTCTTACTTATGGAGGTTTTAAGCACAATTGTCTCCTCCTACTCCACTAATGACTTCTAATCTTTTACTTTAACATAAGTATCTTATCATAAATTGTTCCAAGAATTCTGGGAAATAGGAAGAATAGCAGATGGCATCTGGCTGTGTGCCTGAGGGTGCTTTGGCAGGGGGCGTCTCTGTGTTTTCTTATTACCCCCTCTTCTGTCCACATAGCCCAAGTCCTTGGCCATAATGGCCCCTGGTGGCCAATGCCTGGGCCTCTCTCTGTACTTACCAGCAGTGTCTGCACCAGGCGCTGCTTCCTGTAGAGGGACCACCAGCCTGTGGTTCTGGCCTCCCAGGACACACTGTTCTAAGGGGAGCCAGGGCATCGCTTGGGAGGTTATGGGCAGCCTTGTCTGGTCTGCTTGCTGCAGTGCCCAGGACCCTTCCTCAGAAGGGAGCAAAGGCCTGCCCACTACCCCATCCCAGGCTCACGGTAGGTGAAGGAGCTCCACCCAGCACCTTCTTCCTCCCACTCAGGCTGGGGAGACCCTTAACCTACCTGGGAGCCTTGGGACATGCTGTGGGTGCTGGGCTGAGCTGGAAGCCCGCTTTCCTCTGGGGTACCAGCCCTGGGACCAGTGCTGAGCCTTCGAGCGTCCAGGGTGGGCAGTCAGCAGCAGCAGTAGCAGAAGGCCTAGCCTGCAGCCGGCCATGACAGGGCTGCTCCCACGGATAGTGGACAGCACTCAAGAAGCCGGATACTTCCATCCACACCTCCTTCCTTTTCTTCCAGGGTCCCCTTGGACAGCTGGCGCTTCAGGGGCAGCTTTAGTGGTTCCTAATGCCCTTCCCTCTTCTGCTACTGCTCCTCATCCCAGAAGTCCAGGGATCTGGACCCCAGAGGCTCCTGGCAGCTAGCTTTCCCCAGACACCCCCCCCCCCCCCCCCCCCCCCCCCAGGGCATAGAGGATTCCAGCCTTGCCAGCTGAGGGCCCTTCCTGGTCAGTCAGGCCTACCCCTCCTCCCGTCAGGGATTCCAGAAGTAGAAGGTTGGAAAAAGTAACAGAGACTCGGGTCAGGGGAGCCCTCCTAGAGACAGGCAGCAGTGTAGGGGCACTGGGGGCACCTGGTGCACAGCACCCTGCCTTTTCTCTGTGGGTTGCCATCTCTCTTCCATGGCAGTTGGGGATGTGGAATGGATGTGTGGCGATGACAGGGGCAAGTGCTTTTACCCCTCGTCCCTCCCACACTAGAGGCAGCAGGCATAGAAACAGTGTTGGGGAGAGAAAGGGAAAGGGTTCTTTTTGGGACGTGATTCATGGGTAAGAGGGACTTGGGAGGGAGAAGAGGAACAGAGTGCCATACACCCAGGACAGACTGCCATCCAGGAGTCCCAGCCCTTGGGGGAAAGCAGCCTCTTCACTCACGGAGGGAAAGCTGTGGACGAGGTGGCTCCTTGAGGTGGCTCCTGCAGGTGACAGTGGGACCCCCAGACAGCCAGCTCTGGGATTTATGGTGACTCCTCCCCCTGCTCCTGGTCCAGACTCCAGTGACGGCTCCATGAAGGGAGGGGGAGTAGCCTGCCACCCAACACTCTTCCCTTCCCAGTGCATGTTCCTAGCCACTGGCCCTGGGGTCACCAGACAGATTGCTCCCGCTCCCTGTCTTCCCAGGGATCTGAGGTGGTAGGACTGCTCCATCCCGGCCACGCCCTTAAGAATCCTCCTCCCACTTCCGGGGCTGCATCCTCAGGCTCCTGCCCTTAGGCCGACAAAGCCCTCAGTCTTCCCTGACCCGAAAAGGAAATTGTGGCCCGGAGGCGGCAATGGCTGGGGACCCGTGTCCCACGCAGTTGGCAGCCTGAGTGGGGAGCCAGCAACCTGTGGAGAGGTCTGGGGGAGGCCATGGGGACCTAAGGGCTTGTTTGCTCAACTGTAAAAGGGGGTGGATGGAATGAACCTCATCCACACACCTGAGCACCAGGGCTGGGTCGCTCTAGATGGAGGTAGTTTTGGGTGGGGCTTCTCTCTCCTCCCTGCAGGCCCAAGAGAGGAGGCTCAGCTAAGGGGGCAGTGCAGCATCTGTGGGCCTATGAGCAGGGGGTAGGAATAATCTTGCCTCTCAAGGTTCCAAGCCTTCCCCATCCTGTGCTCAACCCAAGACTATTCGTGGAGTTTGGCACAGCTCACCTAGACACTTGAAACATGCCCCTGCCTCTCATTCTGCATCAGCTCAACTTTCCACCACGGACCAGCTATTAGTTTTCCACCAGCTATTCGCCTGGAGCGGGGGCAGCGGGCAGAGGCCTGTTTACAGGGTTAATAGGCAATTTCCACATTTGGGCTGAACAGCAAATGCAAGGGCCAGGGTCAGGCTTGGTGGCGTGGTGGCCAGTCATTAGGAGAGCAGGTGCATCAAATCCGGAAGCAAAGAAGGGGGAGGGGATGGCACAACAGGCACCAGTTATTCATGGGCGCCTGGACTTCAGCTTCCCTTGCAGGAAGGCACACATCAATTTCCAAACAATGTGTGGATTGTATGTTCAGTGAAATTGTTTTGGAAAATACTTTGTTCCTATATGTGTTGGTTAACCAAGTAATTTTTAGGAAAAACATTTGTTTTATGGTTTAGTGAAAATGATTCCTTTGAGTTCAGTAAACTAGCTTAGTTCTGGTTTGGGTTTACAGAATGTTTTATTCAAAGTCCCTTGTGTTTATTTTAAAAGAGGAATGGGGTGCCTTTATTTTTTCTGTAGTTTGTTTGTGGTTTTTCCTAAAACATCCAAACCAGAACTAAGCTTCCCAAAGGATGCTCTTGTTCCTTTCTTTCTGGCCACATACATAGCTTTTCAGGAACGTTTGCTGTCCTCTTCCAGACTGTAGACTCTGGAATTGATCCTCATATCCCTCTCAGCAGGACACAGAAAGCCATGTGTTCACCACTGAGCAACTAATGCTCGGTCCTGAGGATAGGACTTCATTCCAGTCTGGGAACTGCTTGTAGCTGGCTGGGAAAGCAGAGGCATAGAGCAGTGTGCTCGGGTGCTGCTGGAGCACAGAGGGGCACAAAGCCCTGAGCAGATGGTCTGGATGAAGGATGACAGAGTTAGCTGGAGTCCGCACACAGGGCAGCAGCGGTGCTCCAATATAAGGAACAAAATGGAGAAGAGTCAACACAGGAACTGCTGGCGGGTCTGGATCTGTGGGCTAGGGGTGGAGGGAGGGAGGCGCAGAGAATGCTGGAAGGTTGGAGGAAGGGACCGAAGACTCTGGAGAGACAGGGTGAACCCCTGGGCATTGGGAGTGTGAGACAGGTGCCGTGGGTCACCACGTGCAGCCACGTGGCAGGAAGCCAACCTGGAGCTCAGGGTTGGAGAAGAGCTAAGGAGGCATAACCTACAGACCACAGGAATGGCCAGTCTCTGAAGAAGGAGAAAGGAGGGGCAGTGGCTCCAGAGTGAGGATAAAGTCAGAAGGCAGGAACTAGTGGACAGAGAGTGGATCCCCGGGAATTGGAAAGAAAGGAATCTGTGGGGATGAACTATGGAAGAGGTGAGAGTGAGTCTATCATAAAGGCAGAAGACTTTAGGCCTGGGGGAAGTGGTGTTTGTTTTTAAAATGTTTTAAATGTTTGTTTATTTTTGAGAGAGGGAGAGAGAGTGCGCAAGTCAGGGAGGGGCAGCGAGAGGGGAATAGAGGATCCAAATCAGGCTCTGCTGTCAGTATGGAGCCTGATGTAGGTGCTTGGGCCCACGAACCAGGAGATCATGACCTGAGCTGAAGTCAGACGCTTAACTGACTGAGCCACTCAGGCACCCCCCCCCCTTTTTTTTAAATCAAAGACTTGTACATTTGGTGGTGGTCAGAGGGGTGTTGAAGGGAACTGAACGCCCAGGAGGGTGCTGACTTGATGAAGTGAGGTCTGAGCACGGTGGGCACTGGATGCCTCGCCCTCCCCCTTCTGAGAAATCTGCACTGGCTCACGCTCCCTGGGGCATAGCTAACTAGCTGGGAGATGGGCAATGGATGAAGCAATCACCCTTGCCATTCTCAAACGACTGTGCCTGATACACTTCCCTTTAGCCTCGACTAGTTCCCGTTGGGTTTATGTCTCTTGCAACCATGCAAGGCCTGCTTGAAGATGTCTGTTAAGCAACCAGTGGTATTTAAAATACTGGCGTAGCCACCAAGCAAATCAGCGTGGACTCCAGCAGAAAGCTGCCAGCCCACACTGGTGAGTTGGTAGAGATACTCAGTCCTTCTGTAAAAACCCTTGTAAGCACTGGTGTGTAAGCTGCTCAATGCCAGCCCGAGCAACAGGAGGTAGGCAGCCTGGTGGGGGGTAGCGAGGCAGCACAGGCATGAGAAGGGCTCTCCTATAAGTTGGCTATGTAGCTTGTTGACCCCAGCCTGCTCTTCTCCATCTGCCAGGAGGTAGCCTGCAAAAAAATCAGGGTCTCCTTCCCAAACATGGCACCTCTCCTCAGAAATCCTTCATATTCTGTCTTCGCTTAACTTACTTATGCTTCTTTGAAAACCACTGAGTTTTTAATTTATTGCCCCTTGGAGTTCCTTAGTTCTTACAGAAGGACCGAGTACTTCTGACACATACTCACCTCACAGAAACTTCCAGAGGTTGTCTGTCATGGTGCCCCTGCCTCCTGAGGATATCCTGAATATGTGGTGAACTTGGCTTCCATCTTGGAGCCAACCCATCTGTTCACCTGGGCTCTGAGGCCTTCTGTAATGTGGCTCTGTATGACTTTGCCTCCTTTTGCTCATCCAAATTCCCAGCATCCCTTGGGTAGCTCAAGTCCCATCTCCGCCAAAAAGCACACCAGCAATGACCTGAGTGTGCCTCCACGGCCCAGAATGGAGTGCCACTTCTCACTCCTGACAGCCTGAGTAGCCCAGGGCCTATGCCTGCTTCTTGAAAAAGGCCCCACAGGCCACAAGACTCTCTCAGCCTCGCACTGAGGCTGTCACAGCTGTGGTAACCAGTTTACGCTCCTGTTCCCATCAGGAGCTGCTCATGAGGATGAGAGGCAACGAAGAGACCCACCCTCCCAGCTGTGCCAACCAAAGACTACGTTTCCTAGCAATTCTATTGTCCTATGGTACAGCCTAGGACTAAGTTTTAGCCAATGGGGTATCAGTGCAAATGGAAAGAAGGCTGTAGGAAGCTTCATGTCCTTAGAAATGAGGTTGCTTACTCTCCATCTTCTTTCTGCTTCTCCATGGGAGAAGACAGTGATCCAGCTTCAGCCACAAGGACACGAATAACATCCTAAAGGGACACTGGAACCACAAGATGGGAGGACACTAGGTCTCTGGACTGGGCACACCGTTACATGAGAAATAAATGAAACACCCATCTTATTTAAGACACAAAAGTTAGACGCTTTTGTGTAATACGTCAGGCTTGATACCAAGTTGGGATCGAAGACTCCCATCACCCTGGCCTCTGGGTCTGAGGCACTTCTTATAAAAAAGTCCAAATATGAAATGAAGTGAAATTTTGTTAAATTAAACGAAAGCTATTTAACCCAGTAAGTGTGGATATAAAGGCTTATCCTGGACAAAGCAACACAATCCAGAGTTTTGTAGCACAATCCAGATTGGCATTACTTAGCCAGCTACCTCCTCTCTCTTCCATGCCCCACGCTAGGCAAACAGTGGGGACCCTGACCATGTTCCCAGGGAGTGAGGCTGGC